CATCATTTCTACCAATTCATCATAAGTAGCTGGATTCTTGCTTTGCATGTCTCTCCAGAATAGAGTGTTCATGTTGAGGCCTCTCTTCAAGGCTAAAAGGGCCTCTCTATTAGTGACTTGTTCGCAGTATGTGATTTCATCAGTAAATCTGGCGGGATAGCTTTTCAACGTCTTTCCAGGAGCTTGCCTCATATCTTGTAAACGTTGCACTGGGGCCTCTTCTTCCCTTTGTGAGAGGTATTTGTTCAAGAAAGCCTTCTTCAAATCTAACAAACTCCTAATACTTAGAGGTGGTAGCTTGCTGTACCGCACTTCGACGGCTTCAGTGAGGGTTGGATGAAAGGCCTTGCACTTTAATATCGGTGAAGCCCCTTTAGGCTCATTTGCGTCATGTATTTGGTGAGGTGCTTTTGTGGACCTCCCTTTCTCTCATACTTTGGAATTTTAAAGGACATGAAGTTTGCGGGCATTTGGAAGCTTCGGATCTCTCTTAAGAAGGGAAGGTTGGCCCTTCAGAGTCTTCGCCTAGTATGTTTTAGGGAGATGGGAGTGCTTCTCCTCGACTACCCCAATCCACTAAGTTTCTCCTCTTACACCTATTTCTAAGCAAAGGGGGTGCTTCCTCTTCCTGCTCTTGCTCTTGTTAAGCTGATCTTTACGCAGAGCCGACCTTGTTGCTAGGGTTCTGCCCTATCCGGTCAAAGACACTAATCGCCCTTTGCGCCTCGTATTTTGGTTGGGAGTTTTTGCCCAGATGTGGTTCTGCCACTTGAGTGCCGTAGGCATAAGAAGTGACATCAACTCTCACTTTTCTCTCAATGGGGTGTTCTCTATGGTGGCTTGAATGACCTCGGACATGAGATACAGGAATTTGCTATTGAGCTAAGTATAGCTCTTGTGGTACTTGGAAGCACTGCTGGCCTTGGGCTTGCATAAAGAACTCACGCATCGCCAAGTTCTAGGCTGTGATGTCCCTCATGCCTACTGCTATTTAAGCCATTCCTGCAGTACATGTTGCAGTCATATCACCTCGACGATGCTAATGATGGGATCTCCGGTGTGTGACATTTGTCCGGAGCACCTCTTTCTCAGAGGTGTCCTTATGTCCAGGATTTGCGTCCTCATTACTAGAACTCATTTTCTCCACTTCTTTTTTTAGGGGTGCGTAGAACTAGGTTGTAGGTTGTGACTTGTATTCCTTTTTTTTTTCTCAAGAACGTTCCCTTTTCAAGGTAAGTGAATGGCTTTCCGGTGGTAATTGAGGAACTCTTGGACAGAAATATTCCTACAGACGACGTCGATCTGTTGACCTTGCAAAATGGACCTTCCACGTGACCAATCAAGATTCAATCCACATATTCCTCCCTACGCACAATAGCAAATGGCCAGAAGCACACGGTCGGAACCAACAAGGGTGGCAGCGGTCGCGTACACTCCACTATCAAGTTATTGGGCGGTGATCGGAACAGTGCCGAAATTGTACAAGAGTGGGGAGGAGAAAAACTATTCTTTTGTGTGGATAGCTAAGTTTACTATAAATTTCATTACCTTTGTCTCTTGTCAAATCTTAGATATTTGGCACCGTTAGATGTGGGACACGTGTATGCATCTAGTGGTCTGAGACGTCCGCTCGTAGGTGTTAATCAGCCACGTCTAGAGTGTACGGGTAATTAATTCATCTAAGTTAATTTGACATAAAGTTGATACGTCACATCAATCAACCCATGGAGATGAAGGGATCCTGACAAAGATATATCTCTGAAACTGGCGACGGAGAACTGTTGAAGAGGTGCCTCTGAGTATCCCACGCTTCAACATTTGTGGATACTTCGGACACCCTTGCAGATTTACTTGGTGATCAGCATGTGAACTTTAAGTAAGGTCGAGGCTCATATCACTTCGGAGGGACGCGTAGCACCTCGCTGAGGAGTGCGCGCAAGGTGCCGAAGTGGTTTGGTGAGGGGCGTAACAGTGATTATTTGGTCAAGTAATATTTTAAATAGTAACTTTTAGAAGAATTTGTAATTAAAAAGTAGAAAAAAAAATTGAGTTTACGTGCAGGATATTTTATTGTGTGTATGCATGATTGAAAATGAGTACGTAGGGAAAAGTTTTCAAATGATGGTTATCAAACGTGGGTTTATTTTCTGTCCTACGTTGATACCTTGATTTTTAATCAACGCGGGGCATCTAAGATCTTATTGTACCTTCGAACTGTATTAGAAACATAAATATATTAGTGTCCTGATTTACTTCTGATGAATTGCGTTACTTTGAGGCAAAAAAAACTGTTATTTCTCTTTTTTAGAATTTTAAATGGATCTAGCAATTAATGATTGTGCACAAGGGCCTGCTTCAGAGTTTCAGCGTTCTGGTTATATGTGTTGATAAGTGTGTTTTTACACACTTATTTTATATCTAAATATATTATTTATTGATTAAATAAATGGACTAATTGTGTAATATTTGCTTTTGTAGACAAAAAATCGCTAGGCTAAAAATCACCAAAGTAAAGAGAACGAGGTGAAAGGAAGTAAAAAGGGACCAAACGCGTACAAAATTGTGAATTGGATTGGAGGGTGTAATCGATATATAAAGTCAAAATAGGGGACCAAATTGTACAAAATAAAAGTTGAGGGACTTGGCATGAAATTATTGAAGGGACTAAGCTGCAAACTAGACAAAAATCAATTTTTGTGGGCTGTGGACAGAGCTCAGGCGCCTAGGCGCCAGTCTTGATTTCAAAAAAAGAGTAAGGACCTTTTTGCATGCCTTTTGAAACTTCAGGGACCAGGCTGCAATTTTTCTGGGTTTTAAATCTAAAGGCTGGGACTATTCTGGAGATCTTCAGCTTCTTCTGCCGGCTTCTGTATTCTTCATTTTTTCTTTTTCTTTTTCTTTCATTTTCATTTTCTTTCTTTTCCTTTTCATTTTCTTTCTACTTTCTTTTTCTTTGTAAATACTTGGTACTTTTGGAAGCAAATCATAGAGGACAAGGAGATTCAATCAAACAATTCGATAAGATTTTGGAGAAATCAAAAGCAAGCAATTTCATCTTCAAAAATCCAACAAAATAGGATTTTATCTATAATCTTGTATTATCTTCATTGTTTTGTCAAATTTGCATGTATTGTGTAAAATATTCTCCTTTTATTCATATATATAATATGGGGTAACTACTTGAGTTGGGATTTATGGTAGTAATTTAACTTAGTTTTTAATTGATTTTAATATTTGCCCTTTAATATTAAGTTATTTATTTACATGTATTTTTACTACTGTTATTTATTGCATTTTTATTTATGTGGTCAATAAATGATTGTGTTCAATAAATTATATATCGTTTTAGAGAATATTGTGCATTTTAGACCAAATGGTAAAAATCCTAAGTTTGTGTAGATGATAGAGATACACGTTTAACCTTAGATGACCTAATGAGTTATTTTCACAAAAATTTAATGCAGTTGTTTGGTTTTAATTGACATAGAGATATACTAGGTTAAAAATCAATCAATTAGGGTTAATTTCGATCGTGATGGATAATTAACTAAAATTGAAAAATTGGATCTAACACGTAAATGAGTAATTTGTTAATTGGCATGTGGAGAAATTAATTAAGCGACGATTAAGCAAAACCATGAATCCCAACTACTTTTGCCTCCAAAATTTTCAAGATTTTTATATTTTCTTAGATTTTTAGTTGTTTTTTCCAAAATCTAAATATTTATTGTATGTTTGTTTCTTTTATTGTTAGAATTAAATTAATTAAAATTGTGTAATTTAAAGTAAACATTCATCGAGGGATCAACAATCCAAATTCAAAAGGTCAACTTTATTACTTAAACGTGATTCGTGCACTTGCAGTGTAGGATTTTAGCGAACATACTTTTTTAAAATACCGATCCTGAGCGTTTTATGAGTGGTCGTGGACAATTTTGGGTAGTTTTAGTAGCTATTTTCCAACTTATGTTTGAGAGTTTATTATCTACAAAGTTCTTTTCAAGAATAAGATCACATATATCTCCCTCAAAAAATTTTCAATTTATAATTTCTTAGATGTAAAATTTTATCCATAAGTGAGTATTTATTTATAAATAATTTTTTTTTACATATAAGTTAATATTTAACTTTAAAAATTAAATAAAATTAAATACTTACTTAAATTTTAAGTAAAATTTTTTAATCATAAGTAAATTTTTTAATTTTAAATAATTTTGTGAATTTTTGCTTATAAGTAACTTTTTATATTTTTTAAGTAATTTTTTATCTTATTAGTAGCATTTTTATTTTATAATAATTTTTTTTTAGATAAAAGTGATTTTTTACTTATAATTAATTTTAAATTATAATGTATTTTTCATCATATAAGTATAATTTTACTTATAAGTCTTTTGCAATTATAATTTAATTTTTTTGCTTACAAATAACTTTTTAGTTAATATATTTTTATTTACAAATTAGTTTTAAAGAAAATATGTTGATTAAAATTAATTATTTTATAAAGTGTAAAATTAAAATCGACTATGAAAAAGGGGCAAAACCCATCAATTTATTGAGTTGACCGAACCCATTAAAATTACACTACAACGATTCAAAATCAATGCCCAAAAAATCTAACGAACATCAATTTTTTTAACCCCTCATAAATGGTGCCATCCAAAATCAATCAAAACCGATTGGTTATTCAAGCGGCCCCAAGTGTCATCCAACCTTTCAACAATAGACAATGACCATTGGAAGGAAAAATGTCTTTATAAGTTATAAATGCATAACTTAGAACTTCATTTCAGTGGGACCAAATCGACTTTGAACTATCAAAACCTCATTAGTAACGCAATCTCTGTAGAACATGGAGCGTAGTGCTTGTTAGGAACCAATTGTACTAAACCGATGAGTTTCGAAAAAAAATTCGTGTAACCAATCTTAGATTTACTAGAAATAATGTGTGCCACATAGCAAACACCCCCAGTGGATGCACTTTGCTCTCAATTCACCAAATATTAGCTACAGACTTTTTTACAACAATTATATTCCAATACAAAAAATTCCAAGTTGAAGCAAGACAAATAATTTCATTGAAAGATGCAACAAAGTAAAATATGGGTTCACCACTAAAATCAACACAGCATAAATGGGCTCCAAATGTGTTCCCAAATTTGAAGGTGGTTGAGCAAAATTTCCTATTTTTCTTTTCCTAATGCATGCAAAATTTCCTGTTTTTGGTAGTTAATATTTGAAGTTACAGAACAGTGAAGCTAGGGCACAAAATAAGTTACCTAAGGGGATCAAATATTACATTACTTTTCAACAAATGATGACTCGGCAAGATCAATGGCTCTAGCAAGAGCAGCAGCCTTGTTTTCACACTCATTCTGCTCATCAGCAGGATCACTGTCGGCCACTATACCGGCCCCTGCTTGGAGATGGGCAACCCAATCTTGACGCGTGTTCTTATCCTTGTACGAGTACATTGTATCATAACGCATAGAGGTTGGGAATACGATAGTCCTCAAAGCTAAGGCAATATCCATATCTCCGGTAAAGGAAATGCCTCCAAACCCACCACTATATGGCCCACGCCTTGTAACTTCCAGTTGATCTATCAATTCCATTGCTTTCACCTGCACATCCAAATATAAGAAATATTTAAGTTCATCCTTGTCCAGAATAATAAGTAAAAATGTTGTTAGACTAATCTTTGTGAAAGAAAATTTGGAAGAAAAATATAGTATTAAAATGTATCATTAAGGCCATGTTTGTGGGCAACGTCAAGGAAGAGAATGTTCCAATGGCCACCTTGCCCTTTGGTGTCAATGTCAAAATGAAAGCTTCTTAAATCAGACCTCACAAGCCCAAACAATACTAAACTTGGCCTCGGTCACTCTATCTAGTTGAGGACAGGCAAAAGGAAGGATAAAGGAAGTGGATACTCATCAAGATTAATGCCTTTGAACTGTCAATTATTATCGTAGACGATAAAGGTCCAATTCCATGCGGGTGAACCTCTACGAGATGATAATAAAAATAAGAAGTCCACTGAATACAAAGAAATTTCCAACTACATTCTCTTGGTTTTACATATATGCATAAGAAGCATAGTTTAATACTCTCTGTATTCACAGCTGGATTCTCTCATTTAAATTCTGCAGTCAAACATAAGAATTTTGTTATGCAGAATTTCTATTTAATCTATATGTACCTCTCAGACAAATTTTGTATGATAGCAAAGTTCTTATCAAATACCATCGAAGATGTATTTTAAGATAAATGATAAAAGCATATGTGTGTGTATATATATACACACACAATATAAACTATTGCTCAAAAAACTTCAACTTGACTGCAATAGTCAATGGGAGTGTGCAGTCATGAACATAGGCAGCAATAAATATCTTTCCAAGAATAAAATACAATGCCTAGCCATTCAGGTTGTAATAATTGACATGTTCTTCCACCATCAAATGCAACTAACTGACCATACTAATGGATGAGATAAACCCTCTACAGGATTAGAAAAATGCCAACATGCAGCCTAATTCATGGAGTTGGCACTCCACCACTATGAGCTAGGATATACATTTTTCAGCCAATTTCGGCTTTTCATTCGAAATTAGACAACTCAAATATAATTAACTATTAAAATGATCCACAAGATTATAAATAATTAAATCACTACTTAACTACTTATTTGCAAGAAAAAAGAGAATGAATGACCTTTGGAGCACCACTAACTGTTCCAACTGGCAATGCTGCACGCAGCACATCCCAGCTAGTTAAATGATCAAGTAACTCAGCAGTAACCTGCGAAATTGATGTGAAACAATACAATATCGGCATGTTTGATACTCAGTATTATATTGGAATGGACAATATTGTAGTTTCTTTTTCTCTCTTACATGTCCATTACTAACAGTCCACCTTAACAAACTCACCATATTAGCAATAAAAATTACATACTACAGATCGATTTTCTCAAATAAATGACTAGTATCTACTAACTCCAAATTTATTGACATCTTTAAAACAAATGAAAGACCGAGACAAGTAATTTTAAAAACCAGATACAGGAATTTATTTAGTCATTTTATTGACTATGAATAAATATCATCCTTAATCCTTTCTAAGTAAAAGAATGTCATTGCTGGGTAACTGGTAAAGACCTTCATGTGACAACCTTCAAGAGCAGATTAAATCATCCTCCATCCATGTCAAAAATAAGACTCAACACAAGAATACAAGAAGAAAATTTTCTTTTCCACACATAATTATACAGCTAATATGGATTATTTCAAGCAAGAAATACTTACCGTGGAACTGATGTGCATGACATGTGAATAGCGCTCTATGTTCATGAGTTTCTCAACATTTACAGAACCAGGTTTTGAAACCTACACTGGGAAAAGCATTCTTCGTGACAAATAGCAACAGAAAGCATGATTCAATTTTTAACCAAAAAATTTGTAAATGGAGATTCATAAACCAGGATTCAACGAGATAATCATGAAAAAATATACTCCCCCATCCCAAAAGCAAATTACTTATTTTGTGAGATTCCACGAGATTGTTCCAAGACATGCAGAATTTATATGATAACATAGAAATACAAGAAAACGACCTTCCCAACATCATTTCTTCCCAAGTCAACAAGCATAATGTGTTCTGCACACTGTTTTGCGTCATGCAAAAGCTGATTTTCCAACATAAAATCTTCTTCTGGCGTCTTGCCTCTCCGAACAGTCCCAGCCAAAGGGCGATTCGTGATCTTCCTCTGCCCAAAATAAATAAAAGACCATGAGAAACAAATATGGAAATAACATGCTGTCAACTACTAGTACAGTAAATTTCATCGAAAAAATGACAGAAAAATACTATCACTATAAAAAAGACATGCAAGATGGAACAGCAGAGTATCCATGAAAATGCTTAAAAATTCAGAATAGAATGAAAGAGAGGTATACTTACCTTCTTAACTCGAGTAAGAATTTCGGGACTTGAAGCAACCAGGATACTCCCTCTAGCCTATCTCAATTAATATTTTGTGGAAAGTGAGAAACTAAACATGAAATAAACCTCTCAGAGAAAAATAATTTTAGGGATGAGTAATCAGACTTGTAAATAAGTCATATATGGACTCGGATTGACGATTCTTAATGCTCTGTAGACTTCAAATGGATCCGCAAAAGTGTGTCGTTCAAATCGCTGGCTTAGAACAATCTGAAATATATCCCCAGCAAGGATATGCTCCTTAGCTTGCCTTACTGCCTCCTGATATCCTTCTCTTGTCATGGTGGACTGACTTAATGAAGGGCCAAAAAGGCCAGTAGACAATTTAATTGAGCCCGAGGGCAGCCTAGGACTGTAATTAATAGCCAAGTTAAACAAAGCAATAAAAAGTAAAAACAAACATAGAAATGCTGGTCTTTCACCACACTTACGGCACTATATCATGCACTTTTGACACTAGAGTTTCTAATTGACTCATCCCATCACTGTAGGCCTCTTCAACAGAAGAGAACAGATCCAACCTTACCCAGTGTATCACATATGCTTTCTGCGAGTAATAAACAAGCAAGCGTTTATCTAAACTATGATTAAAAAATCAGAAAAATAAACATCAGATAGCAACCAAAGTGGAGCTAGAGGTCTTAAATTCATTCCTCTAAATAGAATGCACCTGTTATAAGAAAATATACAACCCACAAAACATTCATCTAACAATGGAACTTACTGGCAAAATGTTTTGACTGATTTAATAAAAATGATAAAATTAACATTTTGTCGATTTTTAAATAAGAACAAAGTCAATTTTGACAAAAAACTGAAAAGAATATTATTTTCCATCTTGGCCTTTAAACGAATTATCAAATATTACAAGTTTCTAGCCATATCAAACAAATTGAAAAAATACGATCAAACGCGCCCATTATCTTAAAGGAGTACGTGCCTTCGAAGATGTGTCTTTTAAACGCACCCATTATCTTCCGATAATAAACTCACATTTGTGTCCCCTCCATCTCAAGACAGCTTTTCAAGAATAAAAGCCATCTAATGAAGAAAATTGAGTGAGCAAAGATAAATGCAACAGCAGGCATCTCGTATATTGTATATTTACTACAAATGATGAGCTCTATAAATTATAGAGAGCCTTGTATCGAAATGGCATGTTTAAGAAAACAATGAAGTTTTAAATAGGGGTGAGAGAACCTTCTCCACATGATCAAACACAATCACATCATCATAAAGGCCTAGATGAACATCAGGAAGGTTTCTGTCATCCTTGGGAGCATCTGAAAATGGTAGCTTTTTCTTTTCTACATAACGCACTGTATCATATGAAAAATAACCAACCCAACCACCTGTTTGAGAAAAAATATACTGTTAATGAACTTTGATGACTTCACATTCATTTAAAGAACAGAGTTGTCCATTTTCCCTTTAAGCTAGGATTGAAAAGAGTTTAACTCAACCAAACATTTTTTACGGTGAACTGAATCACTTTAAAGACTTTCAAACGACATGACAGTTATTTGAGACTATCATGAAAAAATGAGAATGGACATGTCCAGGACCAAACAAAGTTAGAGCCCATTTGGCATGATTTTAATTTTTTGTTTTCGCTTTCTGTAGAAAAGCTTTTGGATGAAGTTATCTTAATTTTTATTCGAAAACTAAATTCTAGAAGAGCTTCCTATTCTGGAAGTGCTTTCGAAGGAAACGACATTGGACCAGCATCCTCTAAAAGCTCTTCTAACTAGCAAAAACACTTTCATAACATTAGTAAAACAGATCCAAAAGCAACTTTTGAATCTCAAAAGCTCTTATTGGCTTTTATAAAGACACACCAAATGGGCCCTTACCACTTGTCGTTCAAGCTCAAATGGGCAACTAATGAATGGTGGAAAAGAAAATGATATTTAAGTAAATCTAAGTCCGTAGAGCAATGTAATCATGTAAAACGTGAATAAATTAAGATGTTAATATATCTGCATCTATGCATAAGTAAATATATTCAAAAACAAATGTCAAATCAGGTATAATATCAGCTGATCAGAGATGAAACGCAAGATCTATAACACTCAAGTGAAAACTGAAAAGCGTGACTCATCATTTATAATTAGACATTCAAACAAAGTAACAAACATTCAATTAAATATTGGATTTCAGAAATTATGCTATTTTACGAAACAAAATCAAATGAAGACCCAGTTTACAAATGTTGATTACAAACCAAAACTATATGGAATGATGCTCTACCCTGAGTTCTATATAACTTTATCCTGGATCCATCTTGGATATACAACTAAACTCGAAGAAAACTGATAGTTATCATAAGATAAAGCACCTTATCAAACAAATTGTCTTTAATGTTAGATGGAGTACTTTCCTCTTTTGTAGTGCCTTCATAGGGACTACCTTACCGTTGGTTAGATATTCATTGAAGATTCAGCCGCTCTGCATAAGAATATGATGTTTTTTCTCTGTATTTCAACAAATTTTATAGCAAAAATATAACAACTTTTAATCTGATGGAGGCAGTGAATTCTTTATTCCTCAAATTGAAGACGTATTACTTCTGAAAAAATTAAGATGATTCCTGGACACATTTTAGAAAGAGGTTGGTAAATGCATTGCTTAAGAAAAGTTACGAGACTAGCATCAGTCATATATCCAGAAAAAAAATGTCATCATAAAATGGCATGTAAAGAGGTTCATTTCTGCTAATTTAACCATGGAAGAACCCATGATAGAGTTGGAGCGGACCCCAAAGCAGTATGGGATTAGGCTTTGTCTAGTCAATTAACTTGAGAATTGTCCTTATGTGTTAGCTTCTTGAGTGCAAGTGTTATGCTTCTTCTGATTCTTTATTGCATAATGAAAATTTTGATAGCTTTTAATGTAAAACAAGCTCCTTTAATAGTTATCATCATTTTGGATTAGGTGCGAGTGGCTCCTAGGCTAAAGCAACAAAACAACACGTGTAACAAAGACTATTAAATGGAGAGTGCACAATTCTTTGCAAAGGAATAGGTCAATAGCGATTTGGTCAATTAGGGATTGGTTTCTATGACCAAATCCGGGGGATATCTAGTTCTAAAAAATTTGGGGTCTAAAAACCTATGTTCTTAAACCAACCCAGACATCGAACCAAAAAAGATATACGGTCTTGGGTCAATAAAAGAATAGAATAATATTCAAACAAAACTAAAAACAAGTGTAAATTTTTGAAAGAAGAATCACTTGGTCAACAGCTATGTTCACTCAACACCATAATAAAAGGTCCACAAACTTATCTATAACATCATTGGCTGGTATTAAAGATACACTCAGTTATCATAGACCCCATTGTACCCACATTTATCATATTTGGTAATCAGAGTTTTCTTTATCCCACATAGGAAGTCTAAGACTAGAAAAGAATAGCCTACAAAAGGCGCACAAGGTTATGGATTCAATCTGCTTGGCTGCGTTCTAGCAGTTCAATAATTTTTAGTATTAAGAACAAAAATTCTCACAAATAAGAACCAGAAAAAATGGTAATTTTCTTTACAAATTTCTTGATACCCAACCGGTTCTGATTGAGTACAGTTCAACCAGTTGGTTGGCCAATTTCTTTCTTGATACCCAACCGATTTCAGGTTCGGTTCCCAGTTGAACGGACCAGCTGGTTCGGCCCAGTTTACAAAGCACAGCTAAAAACATTGATCTAATGAAAAATGTTTGTGGCACTTTATATTTGAACATGCTCCCTCTAGCATACGATTATTGGTAGGTTATTATTTGTAACTAAGTCCAAGGCCTAGGTCAACAAAAAAATGGTTTCAACACTAAGATCATTATCATTGTCACTCATGCAAGTCCATCAAAGTTTGTCTCAGATACTGCCTAGTAAGAATATTCTTTGGATTTGGCAATCAAGCAAACTGCAAACTATTGTTTAGATGAGCAAGCAATTACTTGTATAAGCATATAATTGAAATTTGAATGGATAAAATGAATTAGCAGCGTAACTGCTTGTGATAAAGTACGTTGGAAAATTAAAAAACTGATTATTTTCGATTTAACCCTAAAATAAAAACTTTGATGAATCATGTCGGTCATATAATATAATATAATTTATGATATTTAGGAAAATATTACTCTTCTGCAAATAAAAAGACGAAATAAAATGCTTGAAACATCCAAAAAAGGAAGTATGGATATTCAATCCTAGATGCAGGAGTAACTTTCTCCTCATTTAAATTGGAACACAGTTGCTTTCTTGGCTTCTTGATGATACATGGCTTCGAGGGGATTTCATGGTACATTAGTTATCAGATATGAACCTAGTAGAGAGACTCCTTTTATTCAGAAACTGTATTTAGATCTAATCTCCAAATACATGTGTTACTGTTTTCAGTATTTTTAGCTTTGAGGACTGTCCAGTAATATTGTACTCTTTTTCCTTCTTTAACAAAATCTTTTATCCAAAATGAAAATAAGTAATTACGCCATTCTATTATCAGATACTCTCTAGTAAGTTTAACATTCCTTAGGTGAATTCAAATATAGCCATATGAAATGCTAAGGAGTGTAGATTGTTACCACAAAATGCTTCAGGGAGCTCATCGACAAGTTGGGGTTTCCATTTCTCCATAATTCTGCGAGGAATAACCATCGGATCCTCTTCAAACACCTCTGTCCTCTTTCCCGTATGGTGGTCCAATAAGGTCACTTTATTCTCTTTTGCAACAACTTCCATGGTTGGCTGAGCTCCAATCACACTATATCGCCCCTACAATAGTTGTTCCAACATCAAATAAACCAATACAAAGGGAAAAAAGAAGAAACACATTTTCAATAGAATGGTTTGGAAACAGTGGTCGAGGATTACACCCTGAGGTGCACCTCGTGCAAGGTGTTCATTACAAGCATCAATGCTTACACCTCTTCATCAAGACTTAAGCCTTGACTTACTAAGGAGCACATCTCTCGACCGTGAGCTCCATAGTCTTGCCTTTTTTGGTTAAATATTTTACTAGCCTCAACTTTTAGAATTTGTTACTAAGTTTCCAGTGTGTTATCAAGACTTAAGCCTTGACTTACTAAGGAGCACATCTCTCGACCGTGAGCTCCATAGTCTTGCCTTTTTTGGTTAAATATTTTACTAGCCTCAACTTTTAGAATTTGTTACTAAGTTTCCAGTGAACACATTTAATTCAACTAGTTCAATTATTAATTATAATTAAATTAAAACAATGGAATAACCCATTTGAAGTCAAAATCAACAATAATTCAAGGTTAAAGGCCGAGTTTTATTATTTGGATATGTGGTTCAATTCAAGTGGGATTTGGGAAATGTTCCTAGTTAATTATATTAGTATTTAGTTATCCTAAAATAATTAGATTAAACTAAACCACTTCACCTATAAAAACTAGTATTCTCCTAAGTTAACCTCCCATCACCCACGGAAAATCATTGCACAGAGGAGAGAAATAAAAAATAGATTATGAGAGAGAAAGAGCAATAAAAATCTAGAGAGAGAAAGGAATAAAAAGAAACATTGCACGCACTTCAAATTCGATTCAAGTTTTCTTTCAACACTTGATTCTTTTACTTCAGTTCAAGATTTGGAGTTCTCTTTCAAGGTTTGCTTTCAAGATCTTCAACTTTTAAAACAAACTCAACTGCTTAAGTACACACGATACAATAGTGATCGAGATATGTATCTTACTTGCCTAAGTGCTTTAGTATGGATCTTACACGCCTAAGTGATTTAGTTTTCATCTTTTAATGTTCTAAGTTAGGAGTTAACATGTCTTATGTGATCCTATATAAATGAGATTCAGATACCCAGATGTAGGGAATTGCTGTTGGAGCCGGATGTTGGATCATGGAGTTTAAAATTTAAGTAAGTGTTATATTATTTAGCAAGAAATTTTACTTCATAAAAGCTAAGACTTTTGTTAGATTGAAAATTCTTCGACGGATTCATTGAAGTTTAATTTTTTTGAATTTAGGTAACCAAATATTTTATTCTGCACCCTTTTTGCAAAGTTGGGTTCAGAACTTCGAGAACTATAATGATTTTCAAACAACGATGAAAATAATGTTTTTGAGTGACCTTCAGGGCACTATAAATAATCCCAAACAACTAGGAGAGGTTTACGTGCAGATCATTTGCATATTATGTCATCACTTTACCATAACTACCAAAAAAATATTTAACTTTGTGTAAAAAATTACCAGCAAAGCAGGAGAAAATAGAAACTTACAATACTGGAAGCATTCAAGCCAGGTTCAACTGACTCGAATAGAAAGCTAGGGGCATCTCTGTCATCTTCCTTCACCAAGCATCGGTATGCCAGCACTGGAGTCAAGTGATCTGAAAATATTCGCTTAAACAACGGTATCAAATTCCCATCTTCCGCTGCTTCCTTGAACTTGACCGAGTGGTCCACTGCACTCGACATACCCCATATCAAATGAAGTTATAAAATAGAAGACAAAATGTATATACTCCCTCCACTTATAACCGAACTTCTCGTGGTGCCTTTCAAGTTTTAACATTACTTAGTCAACCAAACTCTTCATGGAGCATAATTAAAGGTTAGTTTATTCATATCTTTATAGCTTTACATATATAAAAATACCGGAACGTTCTGCTAAGCACCGGTGGCTGGGGTTGCTCATTAGATCATAGATCATTCCTGTATAAAAATATGTACGTGCACAGATATACAATAATGAAATTCTCGTAAAATGCTACTATTAAACATTTTGCTGAAATCTTAACAGTCTAAGCAAGCTCCAGTTATTCTAAATTCATTAGTTCAGAAAGAATCAAATTCGAACATATGACCAATTGGTTAACCGCTGAACACTTAACCTTCTGAAAAACTTCATTGATCGCTATTAAATTCATATCTCCAAAAAACCCACAATTCAAATACAAATGAAGTAAATTGATGAAAAATAGTGCACCCACCTAATGACGGTACCGAAACGCAGCATTTGACAGTGCGGTGAGTGCGGAAATTAGTTGCCAAGGTGGTGCAGTAGTTGGGGGAGATAGAGTGGTGGGAAGGAAAGGTTACTGGACCGTAAGAGAGGGAAGAAAGGGCTAGGATTTTCATTTTAGGGCAGATTTTGAGAGTTTGAATTAGTTTCTTCTCAATTTATCTTGATTTATGGCAGCATTTGTAATTAATAGTTACTATAAATTGATTAATGATATTTGCAATAGCTAATTGTGATAATCGTCTTACCAAATATACATGTGATGAATAGTGATTTGATACACTAACGTAATAGTATTTTATTGCCTTATGCATCAAATCATTAATAATCAGATGTATGTCACGTGAAATGATTACGATAATGAGCGATTGTAAATAGCATTTTTTTTATTGATTTGTTTAAAGATTATTCTCAAAAGGAAACAATTTTCATTAATTATAGTAAAAATAAAATCACATTTTGTATTTGGTTTGTTTTAGTAGACAAGCCTTAATATATTTGTAATTAATAGTTATTATAAATTAATTAATATTATTTGCAATCACTCCCTACTATAATCATCCTATGAAACATACATGCGACGAATAGTGATTTGATACACTAACGTGACAGTTTTTTATTACCTTATGCATCCAATCATTAATCATCATATTATGTCACGTGAAACGACTGCGATAATGAGTGACAGTAAATAACATTTTTTTATTAATTTGTTTAAAAATTATTCTCAAAAGGAAACAATTTTCATTAATTAAAGTAAAAATAAAATCA